CTCTCTCTCTCTCTCTCTCTCTCTCTCTCTCTCTCTCTCTCTCTCTCTCTCCTTAGACTCTCAAACTGAAGTAAACAGTTAGTTCAATAATAATGCCCTTGACTGCTCCTTCCCACACTATTAATAGCAGTTCATTACGACGATAAGGCGTGATTTTTTGGCTATTTCGGAACTTCGACGAGTCTAAAAATAGTCTCCCACCGCGCCTCAAGCCAAAATCCGCCTCAAGCGAACGCAGAAAGCGATGACGAAATAGATGAGGTAGCATTACAGCATGGCGCTGGCTGAACTGAACTCTCGTTCCCAGCAGACTAACGCACGCACTCATGGTCATCGTCGTCGTCTGCAAGCTTGTTGGAGAAAGGGGAAATAAACAGGACTGAATCGACGTAAACGAATTGCTGGCTGGCTGGCCAGTCAGTGGGCGGGGAGGAATGGCGAGAGGTAAGAGAGAGAGAGAGAGAGAGAGAGAGAGAGAGAGAGAAACGGGGAGAGATATATAGAAAAAGAGCATGAGAGAGATAGCGGGAGAGAAAAAATGGCAGTTTTCGTGACTTTTGACCTTGGCTGAGGGCATGACGGGCGAAAGGAGAACAACAAGACAAGGGCGACGATCTCGATTTATTATTGGGAACGACGGAAGAAAGAGCCAGAGGGAGTGGGTGGTTGGCTGGCTGGGCTTATGGGGTTTGTGATGACTTGTTGTTATTCAACTATTTTGTTTTGGGGCTATTTATAATGTCAAGAGGGCAGTTTTCAGCCAGGGAAACTGTGGCCGTGATCAATATATATATAGACTCTATGTAATAATATTATGATCTTCCAGAAAAAAGGAATTATTTAAGATAGACTGAGTATAGTTTGTGTAGGTATCACGCCCCCCTGCGCGCGCGCCGTGTGTGTGTGAGTGTGTGAGTGTGAGTGTGAGTGTGAGTGTGAGTGTGTGTATTATTGTTTTTGAAGGCGTGTTGTTGTAGGCTAGTAGGCCTACTGGGCGTTGGATAGAAATACATGTAGATAGATAGATAGAAAGAAAGAAAGATAGATAGATAGATAGATAGATAGATAGATAGATAGATAGATAGATAGATAGA